AATCATTACAGTGCTTGCTTTCATGTGTCCCTTTAGTTATATTGATTCTTCATAGTTTCTAGTCTTTAAATCTTGTTGAGATTGATACTGAATGGGTAAGGTTTTCACCTGTTCAATACTAAGTCCAAGATAACTCAGATTGAAGGCTATAACAATTGTGTTTTAACAAACTCAAATGATATCAAATGGGTTGGAACAATAGTGTACTGATAACACTTCAATTAATCTCATTATAATATGAATCTCTCAAAATGTTGAATTTTATCACAACAACTGACATTATGAGTATTATATCTGTACATTGATGAATAATCAAGACTATTTTTTGTTTTGTTACAGATGTATCTAGCTCAGAGGCCTAGTGATAGTAAATGGTACCGAGCTAGGGTTCTCAGCAATTATCAGACAGCTCATGCAATAAAAGCTTTGTAAGTTATTTTCAATTTAGGGTTTTGTAAGTTAAAGTGACTCTGTAGCATTGTCTCAGATTCTGAAATGAAATCCGGGATTTAGCTCATGCTGCAATGATAATTATAAACCTGTAGGTCAGTCAGGAACCCCATGACCTTTACAAACCAATCGCCTGTCTGATTATCAAGATATATGTGATTGGAAATAAAAATCAATTTTCCGTTATCCTAACGGTTTTTATATCATTACAGTTTATTGGGGAAAATGCATATTTTTGAGGCGCTTTATGCTGTGTGTGAGACGTGTACACCCATTCATAGTATTTCAACCGAACCTGCATGGTGTCAGTGAATTATGATCTTCTGCATTTGGAAACTGATGACCATCTCCCTTTAAACCTCTTTAATAATGATCATGTCTTTGTTCTAACAAATTTAAAACTCCCTACATGTATATATGTAGTGTTGTGTTTTTTTGGAGAGAGATATATGTTAGGTCTTGGGACTATAAAAAAACACTACATGATAAACTGAATGCAAGATTGAAGCAACTAGTGTAGAGGTGTCATGGATACGTCGTCAGAGTATGGATCACATGGTTTGCAGCGCCACCAATTTCCTTTAGCATTTAAACTATATTTGCCACTCTACACCCAGGTGTTATATGGGTACCGATAGAAAAGAATTCCTTGAATGCTGTGAGCAAACGGTAGCTTAAAGCAAAGCCAAAATAATATTGGAACGCCTTAAGAACCTTGTGTGGTGCATTTATGCTCTATTAGAATATCAATTATTATTTATTATTAGTGTAACTGTACTTCATGATCTGTAAATACATTTGTTGTATTGTAGAAGGACATGTAAGCTATATTGAAAACACAGAAACCTGCATTGTACAAAGAATGATACCTACTAAGTTATGTTATACTCCGAAGCATGTTTACTACATGTAGATATCAATGTTTAAAATATTCTTCATTTTTATATATGTACAGGCATGTTTCTATTGAAATAAAAGAAAGAATTAATTCACCTATTACTACATGTACATGTATGATTGACATGATCTGATTTAGACATGTTTGAGTAACTCCTTGGATTGATCATAATATGATTCTGTGTGTGTTTATATTGTTAGGTGTCATCTAGTAGATTATGCAGAGTCATTCCTGGTTCCAATCAATAGGTAAGTCATTTCTATTCTCTTCAATTCATATTCATAAGTGTGTTTTTTTTTCTTGTGTGTTTGTGTGTGTGTTGAAAAGGGGAGAGAGTGACTGGCTGTTTAAACTTCTGTTATTTTAGACAACGTAATAATCTCAAAATTTTGAACAAATAATAATAATAATATTCGGCTTATATAGCGCTTAATACAAACGCCTCTAAGTTGCTTTACAGATGTACTATTACCCCGGCCATTGGATTCGGTACTTGCCCGCACACACTATGTGCACAATCTCCACTCCCTGGGAGCATTCCTGCCAGGCGTTACTTGACGCTCAAAAACTGTTTGACCAACAATGACGGTCGCATCCTACCAGGTACCCATTTAACACCTGGCTGGAGAGTAGCAAGTGCAGGTTGATATCTTGCCAAAGGATATTAGTGCCGTGTCGGGATTCAAACCCGCTACCTTTGCATCTCCAGTCAGGCGCCTTAAACCACTTGGCCACGACACTCCCAAATAGTGTCACACCATTGTTTTAAACCTGGTACCATGACTGGATCCTAGCTTTTTCAGTGTAAGTCAGTTTACATTGAAGAAATTAACCTTTGACCTACTGACCTGACCTTTCACTCCTATTGTATTGACAGATTGAAGGAGATTCCAGCCAAACTGAAGATGTTTCCATCACAAGCCAAACCTTTCAGACTCCACGGTCTACAACCCACTACCCTACATGTCGCCATTGAAGAAAATCAAGCAGAACTGGGGTAATAATATATCATGAGTGATAGCTTTTTGTAGAATTAAGCACCTGGAAACATTATTAATGCCTCCGCCACCAAAGGTGATGGCGGATGCATTATGTTTTCGGTTGTCGTCTGTCTATCCATCCTGCTTTCCGTTACCGCTGTAACTCAAGAACCATTGGGAAGATTTAACCAAACTTGGATCAAGTCTGTACTATGTATAGAGCATGCATGTATGGACTGATTTGGGTGGAAGAGTTAAACATCAAAAGTCAAAGGGTCATAAAAGTGTTCAAAAAAATAACAGAAAATATCTTATTACCAGTGGCATTTCCAAAGGGGAGGTAAAAAAGAGGTGGTTATATAAGAAGATCATATTTTAATACACCAAGTGGCAACAAAATTTCCTTGAATTTTTCCATTTCCCTCTGTACTATATTGTGTTGCGTACAATAGCCATATCAGGTATCAACACATAATTGTTGACAGCTGGTCACACCAGCAGTCCCCATAAGGACAGCCCCTAATGGGCCGATCGAATTCTCGCTACCCTAAATAGGTACGAAAATCTCGAAATTCGCGAGACGAGGTAATTTTCACTCTCTCGGGTCGTCACTACAACTTCCGGTATAGAGTCCCATCCCGCTGGCGCTAGCGCCTGTGTTCGCTGTGCAGAGTTTTCACGCACGCTAAAATCGATGCCAATCAGTGTAATTTGTACAGATTATAATATATGCATTAAATTTAGTTTGTTTTTATTCAATTTGAATATACAATAAAAAGCCAAAAATAGTTTACAGGAAAGATTTTATTTTTATTCATGTTTTTTTTTTGTTAATCTAAAAGTAAAAAAAAAATAATTGTCTTAAAATTGTGCATGTAGCGACCAGCGTCACAATCACGAGCAGACGATACAGTAAACAGTGTAGAGACAACACTCAGTTCATGTATTTCTCGTCGACCACAAAATGGATAAAAAAACAGTTTCGGAATCTTAACGGACAGAGGAATACCATGCAATGGAAAGCTTCGGGCAGAATTAGTGACTTTAGCACAAAAGGCCGTTAAACTCTACCGTGAAAGAGAGGGTTGTGATCACGAACTGGGAAATTTCACCCAAGTCACGGCCTTCATCCACCCCCATTTTTCAGGGTTCTTACGCTTGGAATCATGAGCCCAGCACTGTGCAGCCTCACAAAAGAAAACCATCGTCACTGATGTCAAAAGACGCAAAAAACAACGAATGAAATGTTCAAATAAACGTTGAAATATTTGCGAAAAAAAAACAAGACCGAGCAGACGACATATTCGGTGCATACACGTTGTGTGGCGACGGCGTTTTACGTTTGCGCTATCGCGCCTAGTAATATAGCGCCTGCACAGGAAGCTGTTTTTGGTTTTCAGGATTTTCCCCGGATCTCGGCAGAATCGCTATTTGGGGTAGCGAGAATTGGTTAGCTGCCGCTCAGAAAATGTTATGTATCACTAAATCTATTAAAATACAAAAAAAATATTCTGAGGCTTTGTAATAATGTTAAATGTTTCAAACTTTGTATGTTTCTCTTGCTTTAAGCATGTTGTTTCTCATGCTTGGTTTTCTTTTCTTCTTTTTATTATCTAAGAGATGGCATAACCAACAAGAAAATTTGGTATTGAGCAGTATTTTATTGCTTTAAAGCTGAGAAGTTGAGAGATTTGGAATTCTGACTTTTCTCTTTATTGAATGTCTTTATACAGGCCAGCAGAGAAATGGGATATAGCAGCAGTGGAATTCTTCATGAACATTGTTGAAGGTAGGTTAAGTTTTCATAACCTATAGAGGATTGGAATCAAAGTACAGTTGAAATTAAATTTATTTTTATTTTATTTTATTGAATATATTTTATCAGGATAACAAGAATCAGATATACATTGTAGATACAAAATCTGTTTTACATCATGGTCCTGACCAGAATAAAAATGTAAAACACGAAATAAAAATAATGAATATCACCAAAGCTCATAAGCAAAGGTCAAAACAGTATAAAACTAACATATAAGAATAATACGCATTAGAAGTACAAGCAAAGGTAAAAACAGTATAAAACTAACATATAAGAATAATACGCATTAGAAGTAGTAAAATGCAAAGAAAAATAAAAAATTATGAAATAAAAACACAGTTATTCATCCTATGAAGGGGTTCCCCTTTGCCCTGCCTTTACATGTACATGTGTATCAATGCAATTTTATCTTACATGCAACAATGTGGAAGATGGGATATCTTTTTGATTTTTTCTTTCTTTTCACTAATGTTAGTTAAAAGATAAATGTAGCAAGATACTTGCAATTTCATCTTGCTTCAAATTTGCTTCCTCTTAAAGAGGATGAATGAAACACTTGAGATATGAAAAGTATTGGTTTCCTGGGGGGTGTTTCATAAAGAATTTATGTCTAGACATAAACCCCAAAGTCTCTCTTAAGTGTCCTACTTATGAGAGACTTTAGTTATGAGAGACTTTTCCGTTTCATAAAGCAAAGTCTACACATAAAAGTCTCTCTTAAGTCAAAAGTCTCTCATAAAGTTACGAGAGACTTTTACCTCTCATAAGTATTCAAAGTCTTCACATATCTTTCACATATTATTTATTACTACTTAAATTTCAAGAAAAAAAATTGAAGGCAGTACACTTGTAATTCGAATGGATGTAACAGATATATTTCAGATATTTATAGCACATTAAGGCAGTAAATATAACTCAACTGAGAATAATTTACGTTGGTATTAAAATAAACAATGGTGTATATAAGTAACAAATGTCACAATGAAATATCTTATTTTAATTTAAAATATCTGAATGAAAAGAAGAACAAATAAATATACATTTTTATATTGAAGCAAACATAATAAAAAAAATAAACATTCAATAATGTAAATTCCAACAAGGATTATTGCATCAAAATGTCAGTAAAACAGCAAGTCCACAGGTAAATCAACACAATGTACTAAAGTATTTATGTACTTTGTCAAATATTAAAGTTGTACATCTCATCAGTAAATGCACAGGAAAAACTTTAAAATAATTCCACACAATTTTTGTATTTATTTTAAATTATCTTAGTGTTTATTTTGCTTGATAATGACCTACAGTGTAACTGTCCCTTTTGTAGGCTGAAAATATAATTGTGTGTAAATCAGATTGTAAACAAGAGGTAATAGCATCTAAAAACTGCTCTGAAAGTATGGTGCAAATCTTATGGTTTGAAGAGCAATACCAACTAAAATCGCCTCTTAAAAGTTTAGAATTGATACTAGCCTCAAGGTGGAGTTATATCTACAAGTGGAGAAGGAAAAATAACAACTACAAAATAGTCTGATATTTCAGACCCTTGTACTGGACAGTCGTTTTGTGCCGAGTACAGACTGAATCACTTTAATGCTGGCCATTACAAGAAGCAGGATATTGATGTGTACAAATGCTAATGTGTCCTTCCCAGCTCATTTTAATATAAAGTTAACACGTAGTTAATGGCTACCAACTAAAAACTCCTCTTCAAGGCAGCAGCTCTCATTTGCATTCCTTTCATCAAATTCCATGGAGTGTATCGTGTATTCTCATGCCAAAGAGCTTTACCCATGCAATATTATATTTTGGGGAGGGTGTGCAAATGAGGGCTACCAACTTTAAAGGTGCTGTGTCTCTTTAGCAGACAGAAAATACAAAGTGGTGTAACTCATGATCTATAGAATTTGTTTTTGCCTGCAACAGGGAAACCATTACAGGTAGTGGGCCTCATTTTTAAACACCCTTTCCCCAATTAGATGATAATCCAAGGCTACCTCTTTGGCATTAGAAAAACCCTGTTCAAATATTAAGACCAAAGTGACCACACAAAAAAAAAAAATCTCCTCGCTTCTCATTTACAATCTACTTATCTTTGGCTCAAAAATTTCATCAAGTTTACTCTTATGGCAAAGAACTTCTATCAAGGAATTTCCCTCAAAATTGGAAAGGCATTGCACTCAAATTGTATACTGAGGTTAAAGCGGATGTCATTAAAACTCATTACTGCAAAATTATTTTGAAACGATTGTGTATGAAGACGAATATTGCCGAGGGAATTAAAATCATTTTTTAAATGTACTCAACATTCAATTTTTGTATTGGTAAAACAGGAGGCTTGTCGAAGTGAAGGAAGAGCCAAATTTGATCTTGCGTCATAGAAAACATTTGTTTTCAAAATCCTTTACAAATAATAAGAACAATGAAAAACAATTTAAAAATACAAATGCTCCTGGAGCACATGCAGGATATCCTGCAAGCTCAAATTCCGCTCTTCCCCCACTTCAACAAGCCTCGGCTGTACAAATACGCTTCACAACTTGTGCAGCGTCTCCCCCCCCCCCCCCCCCCCCCCCCCCCTCCTCCTTCTCTTCTAGATTCTCTACTGCCTCTCCTTCATCCAAGGCCCCTTCCTCTTCCTCTACACCTCCAATGACGTCCTCCAGCATGCTGGTAGCAGCATTATCCTCCTCAATGTCCTTTAAATTAAAAGAGATTTAAAAAAAAAAGAGTTATCATCTAACAAACTTTGTCGAGATAAAATCAACTATGTAAAAAAATATGTATAAATTGGGTATGTAAAACAAATTCATTTATGCAGATCAATATCTGAAAGATTCGTAACGAGCAACTACACGTTAGCTTGGCTTGGGTGTGAGCGGGAATCTACCACTTCTGCCCTAAATTTGTCAGGAACTGCATCCATCCTTTTGTAGGTCATGCTATAATGACCGGCACTAAATCTCACAGTAATTACAAAAACAGGTACAGGAACAAGATGCAAAATTGTTGTTCCTATATGTCCCTATAAATATTATGGTTCTTCATGGCAAAACTGAGTTTAAATGGATTTGATTTGACACGATGAACTTATGCTATGTTGACATTGATTCATGTTTACTCAAATATAAAAATGTGATGGACATCTCAGCTGCCTACAATAATATGTGACACAGAAAAGTAAACAGAGATAAAAACAGCTTTTTTTTAAATCATCAGAACTTTTAAGATTTAGTCCCACAATTATACTGATTCATAACCATGTTATGGATTATTTTAATAAAATTACATTAAAAAACTGAAAAATACTAAAGACTAAACCCAAACATTTCAGTTTTTCCCATAACTTTTTAAGTATTCTGCTTGCGTTTCCTTTGTATGGCTATGTATGTATGTATGATCTACTCATATCACAAATGTCACAATGACCTCCCAGAATTCCCAGCTTCTTAAACTAACTAGAAAACTGGCCATGAATATTTTTTAATCAGGTATGACTTCAAAATTGAATATGTATGCTTACAAATCCTGCCTCTGTGAGCTCTAGATGCCGTCAACAAGTTACAACCTCTGTATCCAGCATCTCGAGGACTAGGGAGTCAATGAAAGACATTGGTGTTGCTGGTCTACCTCCTTCAGATATATATGGGGGGAAATCATAACATTTACAAAATACATATACCCACAAATTGATAGCTTGGTTGAATTCTGTTTTTTGCTGTTTTGCTTATACACAGGTGCTTAGAATGAAATTAAAGGGCACAACACGAGTTTAAAACCAATGATGTTTGAACAAATAGATGAACTGACAACCAGAAAACATAATGCTGCACAAGTTTCAGATCGGAGGCATAAAGATAAAGATGCTTTTTGGCACTGCTGGAATATAGGAGGAAGTTCTCTTCCTATCCCTGAAATAAACTTGATTAAGATGCCTTTAGCGATCTGACATTATCATGGTTACAAGATAGTTTGGCATATTTAAATTGACCTGTGACTTTTGACCCCTTACTGACTCCCAAGAAATAGTAATCAGGTAATCTTTACATGGCCATAAATACACATTCCATGTTCTTTGCAGGAAATCGCTACTTTGCCCATTCAACTGCACTTTATAAATTATTGACTTTTGGTTTCATGCTAATTACTATTCATCTCAAAACATAATATCGCTACTGGATTGTAACTTTATAATACGACAAGATTAATTGCAACAAAATTACCTGTTAACTTGAGGCTCGTACTCTCGGAGCCTTTGATTCAATCTTCTGCCATTTGCGCTTACACTCTTCTCCAGTCCTTTCGGAGCCCTCAATGTCGATGCTTCCTACTCACCGGCATGGGCATCCCCGTTTCTTTTCTCCACCTAGATTTTGTTTTATTTGAAAGAAAAAGAAAAGGATATAAATATTTTTAAAATAATTGAAAATCATTTTTTAAATTTAGACCTATGGTCTTTCTATCTTCTTGGACCGAGTCGAAGTGACATAAAATTGAAACTGTGACAGAGATAAAATGATCAAAGTTGTGGGACCATATGTGTTTTTAATCAAAATAGACATCCATGTTGAAAATCTTGCAGCCGTATTTTAAACTCTCACTGCGCATGACGTCATCTAAATCTCATCCCTCAAAATGATAATGAAGGAAAAGCTGTGCACGAGCTACAAGTTCGTAATGACGTTATCAGTTTTTCCTTCATAATCATTTTGCCTTGCGCGTAGACTAGAAGGGATGAGATTTAGACGACGTCATGCACAGTGAGAGTTTAAAATACGGCTGCAAGATTTTCAACATGGATGTCGATTTTGACCCATACCGGTAATTTCGTGAAAAGGGACCGTTAAACGGATTATACAGTCAAGTTGGTATTGTAAGTGGAGCCGATGTCGTTTAGCCTAGCTAGGCTTAATATTGGAGTATAAATGCATCCGATAAAATCAAGTAGATCTAGACCCTATTTGGGCATAAGTTTGGTAGTCAGATCCGTGCCACCGAGTTTGCAGAGCTAATCTGCCCTAGACCCTATGCCATTTTATGGTCGGCTTCTGTCTCTAAATTAGAGAGGAGCCGACCCTACCCAAATCAGAGGAACGAGTACAAACGAAAGAGCTCAAACATATCTAACCTAGAATAATTATAATGGTCAATATGCTTGACTAGTCTAGTTAAGCTCAACTCAGCCAGCTCAGCTCAGGCGCATGTTCCAATTGCTCTAGCTCTTCTTCTTCCAAGAAAAGTGCTGCTTCAAGGCCTTGACAAACCAATAAAGCTATCAAAAATACTGTCAAGGCCTTGCATGAGAGATTTATGTGCCGAGGATTAGGATAATGATTCTGTTAATAGACGGTACGATGTCGAGGGGGAATTTAGTGTTGACCCTACTGCCGATTTTTTAGCCTTAAGGCCACACACCAAAAGACACACTTGGGACCGAGCAAATTTTGCAGACGATATCGGCCGGCAAAAATAATGAGGTCAAAACATGATTTAATGATACAGTTTGCTATAATTCTCTAAAAAATGTACATGATAAATCATTACTAGTATAACAGGGACTCGAATACTGGTCATTTACACTTTACACAGAAATACAGACGAAATTATATAACATTTTAAAGTCCACTTACCCAAAAGATTGCACTGTCTTGCAGCGGCGGGAAGTGAAGTTTTATTCGCTGTTGACGTATGCAAATGATATGCAAATTTTTTATTTACATAAAGTCACTCTTACGCTAGGGTTACGCTAGGAGAGTCTTCGAAGATCCTTATGAAACGGAAAATAAATTTTCACGGGAGTCTCTGGTAGCTTAAGAGAGACTTTCCATGATTTACACTAAGAGAGACTTTTAAGAGAGACTCTTTATGAAACACCCCCCAGGTCATAAGCTATGTATATTACTTGATAACTTTCCCTTGTTTGGTAATCCATATTAGATTTTAATAAAGTGAAATTTCAAGGAATCAATTATTGTAAATATGCTTTTATCCTGCTTTTATCTCTTGTAAAATTTCTTTATATTTTGCTGTCATTGTTTCATTGCTGTTAAAAAAGTAATAAACAAAAAGGCAAGCTTCTGTTTTTTGAAATACTACAATAATCTTTTCTTTCAACATACTAGCATATTATGAAAAATGTATTTTTCAGTTATGAAGGTACAAATTGTTTAAAAGTAGATACACTTTACTTGATATAATTCATTACAGTATGCTATGCATATAAAGTCTAAGCTATCAATCATATGGTATTACTAGTGGTTAGTACCTTGAATGAAAGAGAAGAAATTTTCCCTAAACTGTTTTGATAATTTATAATGATTTGACCCTGAGATAAAAGTTCTGGTTTGGTCTATTACCTGTTAGAAATCAGACTCTGGCCTAAGAATTGATACAAATTTGTATATATTTTTCATAGAAATACTTTAATTCAGTTGTAAATCCACCTGTTCTATGTTATGTATAACAGACCGGTCAGCTGAGGTGGACATACATGGGATTGGTCAAAAGGATACACGTTTTGTTACTCTCCATGTGAACACACCACATGGTCAGGTAAGATCATCCTAGCTCCAAAGGTAGAATATAGTATTGGGTAGAATTGTATCATTGTTAGGATAAGAACCTAACTCATGTTTTTTTTTATGGCCACCCAAATCCAATAATGCTCTATCTTGTGTTGTTATCTGATGTATCGCTTTATTGTTCTATCATTTTACCTTATTTTGTACTGGATTTATACGGTTATTTTGTCATGATTTGATTTGATTTATTTATTTCTGTTTGATTTCTTTTTCTTTTGCATTTTTACAAATATATAACACACAAACCATTGCAAATTTTACACATTTGAAAAGAATATAATGACGAATAAAGTAAGGCAGGCTGTAACTAGTCCAGAAAATCAAACAGGAGGGTATATTGGAATGGAATAACACTGAATTGAATTGAATAGTACCATTTACATTAGGTAGAATAACCCACCCCTTCATGTGTAGTTGTTATCTTGCACCTATATTCATAAAACCTTACACACAGCTAGTTGTCAACTAATTACATTGTTTACATTACAACTAGGCATAGTAAGGTGAATATACATTGCAGATATAGGTCATCTTTGAAATTGAATTTATTCATTTTTTTACAAGGTTTTAAAAAAAAAAACTACCTTGGTTTACCACTTCATTTGTGAATGAGCTCTTATCCTGGTCACCTGATTGGCCAACTTTGTAGCACTTCAGCATATCAGGTGCCCATTTATACCATTCACACGTGGTGTGATAAGCTACTTACTTTTATTTTCTTTTTTAAAGATAAGACCAGTTATGATCATGCGATTGCATTGTGAAAGAAATGTTGTGGAATCGATCAGAAAAGGTTGATCATCTAGCATATAAGTATTGGTGTGTACTGCAAGGTTCTGGAATCTTCAAAATGATAAGAAATTTGGCCAAGTCTTGATAAAGTTACGAGCACTGTACACAGAAAGATGTATATAAGAATACCCCCACACGTGCGCGACACGTGCGTTATATCTATCAGGTCCAAATAGATATAATAATTTACCAAATATATCAATTAGTAGGCGGTTTCTTGGCAAAATTTGTATGATCACGTATTAGTCAAAACATATTCTTTCACATGATTGGTAATAAGAGCTTCCATTTCATTTTTTGAGAAGGGGGCGTTTCCAAAACTGGTCTTTACCTTTAAAGTTCATTATGCTAAGTGATCATTTAAGCAGAGTTGCAGACCACTTGCATTTCTTTTGTTAAAATGGTGAATACTACCTTTTGTCACTGCAGGTGAATGTGAATGAAGAGCTTCTAAAGCTGGGTTATGCTGTTAGTGTTGAAAGGGAGTTTGATGAAGGTAAGTGACTTTTACTGAACTGTCAATTTTAGGTTTTCATGTCACTATTACTAATGGATGTAATTGCAGTTTTTGATTTTCTCCTGTGTATATTGCTTTATCTCAATATTAATTGAATAAACAGTAAATAAATATTACTAATATAGTGACTGAGCTGAACACATAATTCTGCTTTAAAGCTAATTTTAGGGTTTAAAGATCTTCCAATACCTTTTCTGGAATTGTATATTTCAAGGGTATGAACGTTTATTTGCTTTACTGGGCTGATTCATTTATGATTTTTTTTTAATACTGGTCTCAATTACAAAGCAAATCTGTGAGATTGTAGACTGAAGTTATATCACATAATGTGAGGCGAATTCTAGATGATATTGTTGACAGACTTCATGATAAATTTAAATCGAATTTTCAAAAGATCATTGACATATATGTGTAAATAAATATTTGTTTTTAGAAGACAAAAAGAAATGTTAAGAGTAATATGCATTAATGAATGAATCTTTTGCTTGTTGTTGACAGTATCAGAAATAGGAAGCTCAGAAGGTGGATGCTCTCGCCCTATGACCCCTAGAACATACACCCCTAAGATCTCCAGTCCTCCTCGTATCACGGAGGTAGAGCAATCAGAGACAGAGATACACGGTGCAGGACCCTCACCCTGGACACCAGGAGGTCAGAGCCCTTCTGGTCAAACTTTAAATGGAGAGACGCAGAGAACGTCTGGGGGTATCTTGGTACGACACGCTCCAGATGAGGATGTTCGTCTTAGATCGCCAAGAGCCAGAGGATCTAGTCCTTCACTAGGGCAGGTCCAGGACCAGGTCCAGGATGAGATGAGTCCTGACAGTACATCCAAAGATGTTGAAGGATCACAGTTAACGCCCTCTACAGGCAGAGGGCGTGGCCTTGCAGGACTCGTCAGGACCAGCGAAGTTGGACGAACCAGATCACCGAGCCCTTTGTCACCTCTTTCCTCTACAACCTCCCCTCCATCAAACATCTTGAAGTCAGCTAATCTTCAAAGGATGTTGGAAAAGTCTCCTCGATCATCTCCATCAGCCCCGCCATCAAAGTCTCCTCAGTCGTCTCCATCAGCCCAGCCATCAAGGTCTCCTCATCCGTCTCCATCATCTCAATCATCAAAGTCTCCCAAGAGCTCAACTCAGCCATCCCTTTCTCCTCGTCCTCTTGATGAGAATGTTGTTCCGAGACCAGGGATCCACAAACCTCTTGTAATCTCTAAAACTACCAGACAGCCATTCATGAGAGATGTGAGCGTAAGACCAAAGGAGTTACCATCCAAACAGGTTAGGACACCTAGGCAATCAGAAACCAAGTCTCCTCCAACTTTAGTGTCCCCAGTCAGGGATTCTAAGTTACCATGGAAACACAAAACCCACAGAGGAGCATCTCAACAGAGTCCATCTTTATCTGATTGGAATAAGATGAGTTCAACGAGTGGACAATCGGATGTTTCTGAAGGAGAGGTTACTACACCAGTCAGAGCAAAGACTACACCGACATCCTCCCCCTCTGAACGGGCTAAGATTATTCAAGAAAGGTAGAATAATATCACCTATCTTGATAATATGTAATAAGTGGTCAGACCTTTCGAAAGCTTACTTTACATATTCCACAGACATAAGTCTTCTCGAATTTACTTAATTCAGGTTATATTTTCTCTTGTAAGTGGTACTAATCACCTTAAACAATACAAATTGTGTTCTACCAGAACGTGAAAGTCAACCCACAAAATCTTCCTGACAATTAAGGAGTATGATGAAAATAAAGGATGACCTAAATCTTAAGGGACAGGTGTCGCCAAATACTTAATAATCATGATAATAATAAGCCTGTAATAAGTACCAATTTTTAAAGATATATGCCGGATTTTCAATGGTTTATAATGGTAGCTGGTTTTGGTCTAAAACCAGTCGATGCGCTATCACTGAATTCTGTTTTCAAACTATAATCTTTCCTTATTTATGATACTAATATGTAATGCAAGTATTCTTGGTAAGAATAGCTTTCATTTTCATTGGATTCCAAATATGATTTGTTCTCTCAAGCATTACATGTCCTATGATTATATCACGTTCTTTTAAATAAGCATATGAATGAACCAAATTAATTCTTTTTTTACATTTCAGTCTTCTAAAGCAGTTGAAGTCTGGCAGCCCTGAAGATGAACCTCGTACTGGATCTTCTAGTCATCACCATGGCAACGAGATGGGCGTGATCATGCATGGGGACCTCCCACCTGATCCGATCAGACAAATCAAAAATGCTCCGTTCCCAGAAGTTATCAAGAAGGTCAGTTGGATTATCAAGGTTTTTTTTTTAAATAATAAAACCTACTGAATTTTATAACTGGTTTACTACATGTAGTTACAACGTAACTGACAAAAGTGCTTTAATAGTCGTGAGATTCCATTATGACTGTGCATTTTACAGTTCACATTCTCCACTCCCTGGGGAGCTTTCCAGCTAGTCGCCTTTCTATAGGCATGTTTGCTAATCTAACCACAGTGATGTTTGTACCCTACCCAATACCCTTTTAATACCTGGATGGAAGAAACCATGGAGATAAAATGCCTTGGTAAAGGACATAAGAGCCACGGCCGGAATTGAACCCATGACCTTTGTATTCCCTGTCTAGTGATTAGACCATTTGACTACAGCACCCCTACAATTGGTTCCTGATGGAATACATGTCCATAGTGTGTTTTATACACAGACCCTCTGTCCATAGTGTGTTTTATACACAGACCCTCTGTCCACAGTGTGTTTTATACACAGGCCCTCCCCCTCTGCCCATATTGATATTGCCAGATCCTAATATTCTGCATATAAAAGTACTGTCATTAG